GGTAAGGTAACCAACGCTCCTTGTTCCTACTGGTAGGCTGAACCTGTTGTGTAGTAGTCGTAGTGTTTCACATCCTGTAGGGTCGCGTATGTGGGCATTTATGTCTGTGTCCTCAATCTGTCGTGTAGCCACTTGTGCTAGTTGTAGCACCAGGTCGAAGTCTCGGTCTATGAGGCCGAGGTATGCTTGTAGCTTGAACAGCCATTCTTCATACTGGGAGTAGTCACCAGTGAAGAACGGTGGTGGCAGTTTGTATCTATGTAGTCTCTGAACGTCGTTGTCTTGTTCTGTTCCTGCTCCCGTACTGTGTCTGCTGTTGGCGCGTTCTCTGCTCCTGTAGTTTGTTGTGCTGAGGCTGATGCTGCTTCTCCTGACATGTCGTAGTAGTTTGGCATGTGACTGCTGTTGCTGTGGTTGTAGTACTTACTGCTTACTGGAGCTCCCCTATGTTTAGGATCCCAGCTCCGCTACCACGTTAAGATCGGTGGTTACTTTGCTTACAAGTGCAAGTGTTGTATTGTTCAAACAAACAGTCAGCCGATTGTAGTCTGCAGCAATCCACCTTGTACACATGCGATGTAGTGAGCTCCAGGCCTGCAGTCACATGCAACACAAATGCAGGAAGTGGAGCATGTAGTTTGACATCTCTCCCCATCTATTTCTCGTGTATCTATTTGTCTCTCTACCTATCTATCTATCTTTTTCTCTATCTATCTTTCTATTTTTCTATCTATCTATCTCTCTCTCTCTCTATCTCTCTATCTTCTCTATCTATCTATCTATCCATCTATCGCTTTAACTATCTACTTTCTATCTAGGTCTATCTATCTATCTATCTATCTGTACCTAAACTTGCGAAAGTGCTGTGCCTGCCACGAATTATGCACATGACCTTGCGAAAGTGCTGTAGTGCCACGAAATCTTTACTTGACCTTGCGAAAGTGCTGTGCCTGCCACGAAATCTGTACCTCACCTTGCGAAAGTGCTGCGCCTGCCACGAAATCTGCGCCTGACCTTTCGAAAGTGTTGCGCCTGCCACGCAAGTCAAGCCTAGGGAAAAGTTGACCAAGTGCTGCGCCTGCCACGAAATCTGCACCCGACCTTGCCAGAATGCTGCGCCTGCCACGCAATTCAAACCTTGCGAAACCTCTGTGTTGCCGTGCCAATAATCCCGGCGCCGAACGTGATCCGAGCATGCTCCGAGCATGCTCCGAGCCCGCTCCGACCAGACGCCGCGAACAGGCTAGCTTTCGCAACTCCGGAGACGTCAGTTCACGCACAGGGCCACGCTTTTTGCGACTTTCTTTTCTTCGAAAACGCCGATTCACGCACAGGGCCGCGCTTTTTACGACTTTCTCTTCCCTTGCCACACGCGCGCGCATTTTTTCTCGATCCATCTCTCTCTCTCTCTCTCTTTCTTTTTCTCTCTCTCTCTCTCCCTCTTTCTCTCGCTCTCCATCTATCTCTCGTGTATCTATCTATCTCTCTACCTATCTGTCTATCTCTCTATCTATCTATCTATCTATCTTTTCTCTATCTATCTTTCTATCTTTCTATCTATCTATCTCTCTCTATCTCTCTATCTTTCTATCCATCTCTCGCTCTCTCTATCTCTCTATGTCTCTATCTATCTATCTATCTATCCATCTATCTCTCTAACTATCGACTTTCTATCTAATCCATCAATCTATCCATCTATCTGTACCTAAACTTGCGAAGGTGCTGTGCTTGCCACGAATTCTGTGCTGCACCTGCCACGACATCTGCACTTGACCTTGCGAAAGTGCTGCGCCTGCCACGAAATCTGCATCTGAGCTTTCGAAAGAGCTGCGCCTGCCACGAAATCTGCACCCGACCTTGCCAAAATGCTGCGCCTGCCACGCAAGACAAACCTTGCGAAACCTCTGCGTTGCCGTGCCAATGGGCCCGGCGCCGAACGTGATCCGAGCATGCTCCGAGCCCGCTCCGACCAGACGCTGCGAACAGGCTAGCTTTCGCAACTCCGGAGACGTCAATTCACGCACAGGGCCACGCTTTTTGCGACTTTCTTTTCTTCGAAAACGCCGATTCACGCACAGGGCCGCGCTTTTTACGACTTTCTCTTCCCCTGCCACACGCGCGCGCATTTTTTCTCGATCCATCTCTCTCTCTCTCTCTCTTTCTCTCGCTCTCTCTCGCTCTCTCCATCTATCTCTCGTGTATCTATCTATCTCTACCTATCTGTCTATCTCTCTATCTATCTATCTATCTTTTTCTCTATCTTTCTATCTTTCTATCTATCCATCTCTCTCTCTCTATCTCTCTAGCTCCCTATCTACCTATCTATCTATCCATCTATCTCTCTAACTATCGACTTTCTATCTAATCCATCAACCTATCTATCTATCTGTACCTAAACTTGCGAAGGTGCTGTGCTTTCCACGAATTCTGCACTTGACCTAGCGAAAGTGCTGCGCCTGCCACGACTTCTGCACTTGACCTTGCGAAAGTGCTGCACCTGCCACGAAATCTGCACTTGACCTTGCGAAAGTTCTGCGCCTGCCACGAAATCTGCACCCGACCTTGCCAAAATGCTGCGCCTGCCACGCAATTCAAACCTTGCGAAAACCTCTGTGTTGCCGTGCCAATGGGCCCGGCGCCGAACGTGATCCGAGCATGCTCCGAGCATGCTCCGAGCCCGCTCCGACCAGACGCCGTGAACAGGCTAGCTTTCGCAACTCCGGAGACGTCAATTCACGCACAGGGCCACGCTTTTTGCGACTGTCTTTTCTTCGAAAACGCCGATTCACGCACAGGGCCGCGCTTTTTACGACTTTCTCTTCCCCTGCCACACGCGCGCGCATTTTTTCTCGATCCATCTCTCTCTCTCTCTCTCTTTCTTTTTCTCTCTCTCTCTCTCCCTCTTTCTCTCTCTCTCCATCTATCTCTCGTGTATCTATCTATCTCTCTACCTATCTGTCTATCTCTCTATCTATCTATCTATCTATCTATCTTTTCTCTATCTATCTTTCTATCTTTCTATCTATCTATCTCTCTCTATCTCTCTATCTCTCTATCTATCTATCTATCCATCTATCTCTCTAACTATCGACTTTCTATCTAATCCATCAATCTATCCATCTATCTGTACCTAAACTTGCGAAGGTGCTGTGCTTGCCACGAATTCTGTACTTGACCTAGCGAAAGTGCTGCGTCTGCCACGAATTCTGCACTTGACCTTGCGAAAGTGCAGCACCTGCCACGAAATCTGTACGTGACATTGCGAAAGCGCGGCGCCTGCCACGAAATCTGCATCTGAGCTTTCGAAAGTGCTGCGCCTGCCACGAAATCTGCATCTGAGCTTTCGAAAGTGCTGCGCCTGCCACGAAATCTGCATCTGACCTTGCGAAAGTGCTGCGCCTGCCACGAAATCTGCACCCGACCTCACCAAAAAGCTGCGCCTGCCACGCAATTCAAACCTTGCGAAACCTCTGCGTTGCCGTGCCAATGGCCCTGGCGCCGCCCCCGTCCCGAGACCGTCCCGAGACCGTCCCGCACCCATCGTCCGTCAGACGCCGCGACTGAGGTAGCTTTCAGCCAGCTCCACACCACCAAACCCGCAGAGGGTTGCTCCTTTTCGCAAATTCTATTCCACCGCCACACGCACACGCATGTTTTCTCTCGCGCGCCTTTCATTCTTTCTTCTTCCTTCCCTGCACCATCTAGCTTTCAATTAATTTCCGTAGCTCGGAAGTTTCCTTCTAAACTTCCTTTGATTATGCATGTATGTCTGTGTATGTTACTCAAATGGAGGTCAACAAGAGCGAACTCGACTTTTGGATTCATCAACTGTATAAAAATGACTGTTTGCAGGTGGGGAGCTAGCTCCGTAAAAATGGCGTAAGCCCATGTAAGACCGGTGCGCGACTGCTGCGCGGGGCTCCTTTTTGGGGCAAAAGCGTTGTCATGCTGGCGTGAATGGGAGCGTTTGGTTTCTTACCTCCTAGTTTATTCGCTCCGGACGACGGCCACCACGGTGCTAGCAGAGCACATCCGTACCAGCCGCGCGTTCACAAAGGCTAGCAGGTATGCGAACAAGTGGGTGCTGTCACAGCGATCCGCGCATGTTGGAAGCAGGCTACGGCGCAACTGCTGAGGTCACAAAGCATCCCCCTCAGCTGAAGCAAATATTGGACACACGCCAGAGGGTGTTGCTAGATTTTTTTAAACCAGCAGCACAACTGACAAATGCACCAGAGCCAAAGAGCCAGCCATTTGATGACAAATGCCAGACAGTCAGAGATAGAGGTGCATCAGGGCCCGTCAGAAATCATGCAAGTTTGCGACGGGCAATGTTTCTGAAGATCAATGAGATCGCGCGACGCGTCGCAAGCGCAAGAAAACAAAGAGCGTACAACGTCACTGCTTTTTCTAGCACTTGCAATTTTCAATCTCATTGCGAACCAGGAAGTGCATTTTCTTTATTTGTATTTGCTGTTTTTGATTTTGCGTTGATCTGGAACCTACTAGGCCTAGAAACACATCAGTTTTCAACCGAAGGGGAAAACCAGTAAAAAAGGAGGCTTTTGGCGGGTTGCCTCTACACAAGCCCAGTTGCGTGATATGCAGTGTTTGCTATATGTCAACAGGCGGTCTGTACTTATCTCGTTTTGTCGTCAGGAAGTGCGCAAGATTGCAATGGCTGCCAGCGGATCCAATGTCCCAGGACCTTGAGAACATCCAGAGCTTCTTGGGGACGCAGGAGCGCGTTATGAAAACAGACCAACACGAAGCTTGACAACCAGCTGAATGTTTGGGTTGCAAACCGCGTGTGGGTTGCTGGGTGAGGGGGCCAACCTTGACCATTGCCAACCTTGACATGTCGGAGGCTTTGGCGTCCAAAAATGGATGAGGCCGCGCCTGGAAACAAACCAAAAACAAGAATTACAGTGAATGGTAAATGTTTGGAAAACAAAGTGCAACATGGGCAAAGCGCCCACACCGACTTGCGTCAACGGCGCATTGCTCATCAGGCATCTGACTCTCAGCCTTGATCGCAGCCAAATCTGCCTTTCGGCGAAGGTTCATGCCGCAACTCTCCGCCTCACAGACCGAATTTCCACCCCTTCCCCGGTTCATTGTTCAAACTGGACATCGCCACGGTTCCCACGTCTTGCACCATGTTGCAATACGCCCCCATGGCCTTCTGCCGACGTGCATCGTGCTCGTCTTTGACAACTCTATGCAGGCGCTGAAGCTTGGCTGTCCTTCAGGCTCCAGCTTCCGCTGCGCCCGCTGCGCACTTGTTCGCACGTACTCAGCACGACCAACTTCAGGCAAGCCACATCTGGTGAACATCCTTGTCACAGTAACAAGTCAACACTGTCATTCCAACAGCTCGAACTAGTGCACTGCACAGCTGCAAGGATGCTGGGCAAGGAATGCTAGAAAATACTTACAAACACGGAAACATGCAACGACATGTTGCTAGAGGAGAGTCAAGAGCGAGTTTACTTGCTGCCAACTCTGCAAGTGATGTTACAGCCACATCAGCCAAGCTGCAGATTTCTTCTTCAAGAAATCCAAAACTTCCTCTGACCCAAACTTCTCTTTCAGGACCAATCGCCGAAACCTGGCATCCGACGCAAATGCACATGTTCTGCACTTGTGCGTAGAAACACCTGCAGATTTAACAAACTAAGACATAGTGCGTGCAGCAAGGGCACCTGCATGCATTTTCGTGCCAGGGGCCCCATTGATGCCTATCACACACCCACACACACACCCACACACACACGGAGCGAAGTCTTCTACACCTACCTAAGGCACCGGCAAGGGCAAACCAGCCTGAGGCAAAAGCATGAATGATCAAGCACAAATTAGACGCCGAAAGGCGACCATGAATCGCACACCCTGCCTCTCGAATTGGAGACAATTCAGGATGCTGCAAGTCCTGGCAGGCTCTGAGCAAGGCATAAATCTACGAACCACCCATGCACCAAGTTTGGCTAAGGCGCTGCTGCTGACAGTTGCTGCAAAACCGCTGCGCACCTTGCCCGGGTGGACTCAATAAACCGCACAAGCAACACAAGCCACACAAGCAACAAATTCTGCGAAAGCTCAGCGATGGACTTTGCAATGTCATCGGACGATGGTCCGTCATCCTTCCCCTCCATGGCTTCCAATGGCAAGCGGCGCGAGTGGGCAACGTGCTGTCTTCACAAGACAATACCAGCGAGCGCCACAATAAGTGCCTGGAAGCCTTGAAAAGTGGCAGGCGCAGCATCTTGCAGTATCTTGGCAGCGTCTTGCGGTATCTTGGTTCTGCTCTAGTTCGATGCCCTTGACGCTTACGCTCTTGATTCCCCTGGATTTACGCTCCTGAGCCAAAGCAAGAAGTTGTTGGTGCTTGTTGAGCCAGAGTGCCACTCGAAAGAGGCACGCAAGAGGCGGGAGCTCACTCGCAATGCAATAATTCCCGTGCCCACCCCTGGCTCTGTGCCACATACGTTTTCAGAGAAGCGATTCATGCACACCTTTGACAAGTTCGTCAAGAAGAGGGTACGTCCTACAGCAAAGACAAAGAGTCAGAGCAAGGAGCGTGTGGCAGGTGAGGCCATGTCCTGTGTGAAATCAGCTGCGTCAGGAAGCAAGCTGACAATTCCTCCCGCCGATTGACAAAGAAGTAGGTAGATGCCTAGGAATGCGATGTTTTGAGGGCACGGCAACTCTACTGCAGTGGCTTCAAACATCCTTTCTCGCTGCCAAACACTTGGGCAGCATCATGCTAGCTGCCAATTGCGCACTTGCAAACAAGTGAGGCGCAAACAAATCCCATCCAATGCCAGGCACCCTCAGCCCTGCGAGGTAAGCCCACCTGCATCTCCCCTCTGCCCATGCTCATACTATGGCGTTCTCTGGTGACAATTTCCAACATTTCAATCCTCATTGCAAGTCTGGAATCTCGATTCAGCTCTTGATGAGGATAACGATTTCAACATCAATTGTAATTTGACAGTTGGGGCATGCTGGATTTCATTAAGAATGGGGGAAGAGTTCTCACGCTCCTGCTGTCGGATTCCGCTTGTTTGCTTCTGGATTTTTCCCTGCCATGTGCGCAGCATCATGTGTGGGTCCTGCGGGGCCTGAGGAATGGCTGTTGCCAGGGCAAAGTCGGTTGAATCCAGTTGGTCCACTGAAACTTTGAAACAATGAAACCCGCCAAAATTAGTTGGGCCGAGTTGAAACAGCTGGACCACATAAGCCAGTTTAACCAGACAATCTCTGGCCCATTTAAGCCAGTTAAACCTAGCTGAGCCGGCTGAGCTTGCCCAGTTCAACCGGTTGAACCAGTTGGCCCGGTTGAGCCAGTTGACCTCAACTGGTTCCAACTGGGCTAACGGGTTCCACCGGTTCAACTGGAAGATTTAGCGCGCGCCCCCCCCCTCTCCCCCGCTGACGCAATGAAGCTTCGCGACTCTTTGAACTTTTGGCAGCGCATGCTCTGACAGCTGCCGCGTTGCAGTGATGCTGGCGGTAGAAGTCTGGGTTTGTGCAAGACATCGGTTGCAATGCTGATCAAACGACTTGGTCGCTTGATTTCGTGGCTCAAAGAGAGGATGGCAGACAGAGAAACCTGTCGGAGGCCAGGTGCTGCGTTGGAAGCTCCCTGATGGGGCCGAGTTTAAGTCTCACAAAATTGCGTCCACGGCCATGGTGGACGTCGTTGGTAACTGTCAGAAATCCACTGTTGCCACGTTGCAGTGGAGCGCGAGGCAGGAGTTCCTTCGGCGGAGTCTTCTACAGGCTTGTGACGAACTTGGGCGAATGACGGACACTGGCTTGGAGTTCGCCCTGTGCGAGCTATCCAAGATCGTGGGCGCTGTCTTGCTTGGAGGGCGCCTTCATAATCGCCAGAAGTGGCGGTAGCTGGGGTAATTTTTCCTTCGGCCGAAAGAACCACCAAATGCTACTGACGACCGACACAGCGAGCTGACAGCCGAGAGAAAAAACTAGCTAGGCAGCACTTCCAGCTCAGGGGGTGCAGCGGGGGGTTTGTTGGTTCCCGGGCTCCTTGTTTGGTATCGTTAACCACCATGCATTCTCAAGTTCAGCTCGAGTGAAAGTTGCTTTCTGTTCGGGGGGTGGCTTAAAGTGGGCCCAGTAGAGTTGACTCAGGGCCCGTTGAAAGTGTGCTGGAGGAGTTTCGGTCAGGTTAGGGTGGCTTGACGTGGCTTAGGCTGGCTTACGGTCGATCTTTAGTGGCGATCCAGGATTGGAGAGTCAGGACACAGGACACTGGTTCGCGTAGGGAGGGTGCCGGCTTGGTGTTTGAATGTTTTGGGGTGATTTTGGTGTGACTTGAATTGTACTTGGGATTGCTTTGTAAGTGAGTTGGGCTAGGTCTTGGATTGATTGAACACACATACGTGCATCAGGACCTCAAAAACGCAGGGCATAGAACACAGGCAGAAAAGCAAAGAAGCAGAGAAGCGAGAAAGAGAATGGGGAAAGGCAACAAATCTAATATCTGCACACAAACGGCTCTCCAGTCAGGCTTGGGCAGCAAACTGGAAGAAACTGATGCTTTAAAAATGCTCCAGCCAATGCAGTTGCAGTGTAGGCAACAATGCGCTTCGTCATCTGAAATGCTTGCCGCCATCAAAAACTACAAAGCCTTCGAGGGCAAGCACAATACATGCATAGCACCTGCCTTGCCAGGATCAGTGACAACACACCTAGGATATCAATGGCCTGCCTTGTTGCATGGCATGCAGGAGGTTTAACGTCTTAAAAGATCCAAACAAAGGCTGACCATCCAATGTTGGGTGGCAGGCGCACCCAGGGAGAATCTTTGTCCAGGGAAGCTGTTGAAAGGGCGCTGGCGCCCACCCCTGAGCTGCACAATGGTACCCCGCTTGCCAAGCGCTTCTGTGACCCTTGATGTTTGAGGTCCCGGCCGCAAATCACCGCGGACTGGGAACATCCTTGGCAGTCCAAACACTGCGCACACTGTGCTTTGCAACTTTCACATGTCTACAGCATCCAGGCAGGCAGCCGGCGAGATGGCGAAGCATCAAATGCAAATGGAGCCTGAGCAGGCATTGGGAGCTACTCAATAAAATGGAGACTGCTGCCTTAGGAACATCCAGCCTGCAACTCTGGCGTCGTTGGGGTTGACAAAGAATCGAGCACAAACCTCAAACATTCCAGCTTGGCGGGCATGAGGGCAGCGCACAGGCAGCACAGGCCGACCCAAGGCGCCAGCTGGCTGAAAACCTCTTTGGCGCCGGTTGCCTTTGCACAGCTTGCAGCCCCACGCTGTGGCATTAACTGCCTACCTGAGATGCTTGCACCCATGAGTTTGCCGCTCGACATGACCTGCAGCCATTTGACCTTAGTGCAAAGGCTGCCGCGCAACGCTTTTTTGACATGCGCTGCACACAGGGCAATCAGTCCTGGGCAAAGTCAGACCCAGTCCCTGCGCACGTGATGCGTGCGGTTGCCGCCCACAGCAACAGGGCAGCTTTAGCTTTGTAACAACAGGGCGTCAAAGAAGGGGTGCAACACGCAAGCCTATCACCCCAGCATCTGGGTGAAAAAGTGACAGTGACCTGCGTGACGCATGCGGACTACGTAGCGCTCTAGTGTCTCTTGCTGGCATGCTCCGAGCCGCCTGTCCCACAGCTTTGTTGGAAGAACCACTGCACTCCCAGCAGGCTTGATGTCATCTATCAACGGGCAGCCGCACCTACAGTGCGCGCAGCTAAACACACTTGCTTGCTTGATTCACCACTTAACACTAGGGCCAAAGCAACTGCCCTAGGAACCCCCGAAGCCGCAACCTGCGCACTCGCAGCAGAAACCAATCGGCCACTTGACAGCCTCCACAAACTCCACGCCAACACAGCACAACAAATTGCACAAAGTCAAAAAATGTCAAAAACCGGATCTTGCTGCTCTTGCCTCATGCGATTCCATCTTCCCGGCAACGCCGCTGCCACTGCTGGCAGGACCCACGGGTGATAGTCTGCGAATGGCTCGGCGTGACTTGCTTTATCGAGCCCTTCCGTGCCTGTGGACACGCAGTTGCCAGACAGGGCTTCATCTAAGACAAAGCCTGTGCTCTCCATCCCAGCTGGCTTAAAGATACGCTTGTCCATATACCTGCGATCGGACATTGGCTCCGCAAGCCAGCTCATCAAACTGACCCTTTTGCACACCCAGGGCGCACTCTGCTATGTTCATCCCAGTTGCTTCTTCCACTGCTCGCGCAACCAACTGGCTTCCAACACCGCCTCAAACTTGGCACAAGGACAAACTTGCCTACGCTAGCCTGCCGGCCGTCTGGGAGCGACACAGTAGTTAAAGTGCTGCCCCGGTGCAAAAATGTGCGGGTGCTTGCCTAAGGTTCACCATGGGTGATATTGCGTATCCCCGCACACTTGCATGTAGGGCTCCAGCCCTCCAACTCCACCTGAACCGCTTGCCGAAAGCATTACGCCTATCGGCCCTGTCTGAGGCGGGCACTGCTTCTTTCAAGTTGCGCGCTGCTTTGGTCGCTCCGCCTCACTGCAGAATACGGCCTTCTTCTAGGTGAGCTAAAAATGACTGGAGCCAACAGACTCTGCCTGGCACCGGGGAAATGGCGGACTTTTCTGAAAGGCACCCTGATATTTCACCCTTCTTCTGCAACTTCCTGCGCCTGCTCTAATCAACAGCCCTACTCCTGCACACGTGCACGGGGACCCTGTGCTCTCTTTTCCATACGCTGGGACTCCGCGGAAAAAGCGTTGAAAAAGGCGCGACCCCGACCACATCTGCCAAGCCCCAACCGGAGCTCCACCCCCGATATCCTAGCCAGGGCTGCGTTTATCAAACGGAAAACACAGAAAAATGTCGAGCACTTAGGCACATAATCACGGCCTGTAGGCTTCCGCCAAGGTTCACTGCTGTCATCAGGGGGCGCTTCCAATGTTTCGCACCCCGGCCACACTGGGTAGGAGACGCCGCAGCCCCATTCAAGCCAGACACAGGACACAGCGAAAGCAGGGCGCCCACGGCTTGCTCCGCGCCAGCAGGGTTTTGGGTAGGTTCAGGGTGGGTTTTAGGTGGGGGGGTGAGGCCCACTGCCGGGGTGCCTATCCCAGAAGGGAACTGGTACCCTGTGGTTGTTGCGGTCGTTGTTTTGGCCCCTGGTGGCTTGTGTTGACTGCGAATCCTGTGAAGCGGTCTGCAAGCCTTTTTTCTCACTGTACCATGAGTCGAATGACTGTACAAATGACTTGAAGGGCCTTGAGCATGTCAGCGGAGTGTGTGAATAGGTCAATGTGCAACAAAAAGCAACACAAAACAGACACAAACTTCTTTTGACCTTTCACACCAAAGTGTATGATTGGCTTCTTGGCCTTACGTGCCGTAGCCATACTTGAAAGTGCCGTAGCCATGTATTGTTACAATGATTCATCCAATTTTGGCGCGGATGATTTGTCATGTGAGCAAAATGGAAAACAGTATTCTGTGAGATGCCTAGATGTATCGAAAAGGTGACGCACAACGCTATGTACATGCGGGACGAATGTGAAACTATTGATCTCTCACTCAATAGTCTTGTTGGCGGTGAGGATCAATCTGGTTGTAGTTCGTAGTGTCGATCGTGGGAGTCTTCTCAGTCGGTCGAATAAGTGCCAAAGGTGGCTGCTTCATCAAGTGATCAGCGGTACCACCGGCGGCTGCTGTCGGATTGACTGCCATAGTCTCCATAATCATTCCAGGTCGAGTCGCCATAGTCTTTCCATTGCTTTGGATTGCCCCAGTACTGCTTGTTGTACTCCTTGTAGTCTTGCTGAGTCCAGGATTGTTTCTTCTTGAGGTGCTCCTTGGATCTCTCAAAGTTGCGTTGCCTGGCGGCAGATCTGCTGCGGATGTAGACCATCAGCGGACTGTGCGAGTCGGAATCTTGTGAGCCATTCATGAACATATCGTTGTTCGCGTGCTTGAAGCGTTTGCGGATGAGACCTGATAGTCGAAAATGGCAGACGTCGGATCGTTCCGCATGGCTTCCAGTTGTTCATCCCTCATGGCGTTCATCTCTTCCTTCCGGAAAATCTGCTGGATATTCGTTTTGCCCCATCCAAACACGAAAGTCATCATCACATCTGGGAATGTTCGGTCATACCCTGATCCAGTCTTCATGTATAGGTGATGACGGACAATGGGTTTTAGGGTGCACGAAGTCTCCATTGCATACTCCTTTCTGTCCACGAGCCGTTTCATTCCACAATCTCTGATATTCCTTCATGAGGATATTCATGAGACCTTTGGCCGGATTGAAGACGTGCTGGAGTCTGCTGTAGGTATTCGCGGATTTGTTGGCGTCTCCGGTGATCGCATCGCATTGGTACAATGTCACGAGTGGCATGATTTCGTTCTGAAGATCTTCCCGTGCTGCTCCATGGCTGATTGATGGATGAATGTGGAAAACTCCAATGGTAGCAAACGGGAGGTCTGCCCTCGTTACGTGGCGGCTGTCAAACTCGAGGAGTGATTTGTTGGATGATTTTGGGAGCATACCACGACACTCATCACTCTGCTCGATGTGGAGAACGACAATCTCTTTGTTACGTCCGTGTCCTTGGACAGTGGTACGTGGTGGGCAATCTCGGTCCGATGTACTTCTTGGGTTCAGTAAACATGGATGGTCCCGTAGTTGCCAAGCAATCCGAGGTCGGAATGTCGTATTCAGGATCAGTGCAATTTTCCTCGGTTCCGAAGAAACATCTGAACATCCCGAATGTGGTTCCCCAATTCTGACTCTTTGTGGAAATGTGTCTTGCCAATAGTTCCACTCTTGCGGAAGGTCCGCGGCGAACAAAGCATGCAATTGGTCTAATTGACCATTGCTTGATAACGATGCCCTTGTATCCGAATCGGATGAACGTCTTGATGAGTTCTCTGGATTTATCATCTTGAGGACTGAGGAATGCGTCTGCTTCATTGAGGCACAAGATGTGTGCGCTGTTCTGCATCATCATCTTCACGATTGGTCGATCCTTCATCGCCATGTTGTAAACCTCCCTGCCGTCCAGCTGTGGATTCCTCGTGAGGTTTCCATGGTTCATAGTAAGCATGTTGATCGGGAAGGGTCGGTCGGCTGCATCAGCGATCCCAGGATGTCGGCAAATGCTCGAATGACTTCTGGGTTGTCATGCGATCTAAGCTTCTTCAATCCAAGTGGAAGCTTAATCGGATATCCTGATACTGGCTGTGCCTTCCGGTGCTCGTCCATGGTGGGACATTCTCCCCGATGGCGGAAATAGAACTCTTCTTCTTCGAGGTTGACATCGGGATCGACGTGTGCCAATGAGGCTCTCTCGCATTCTGTCAATTTAGGATGAGCTGTCTTTGGATCCGTGTTGCACTTCTCCATGAAACGGAGGAAGTTATTTTTGGTCTCCACGAGCTCTTCCTCGGCGTCCTTCTTGCTTTCTATTTTGAGGTAGATTTCCTTGAGTTCCTGGATGAACTCGTCTAGGTTCTCAGGATTTGGATACTCCATGGTGACCTTTGGCTTGACGGATCTCTCCCCGGAGGGTTCCATGTTCTCCTCTTCAACCTCGTCTTGATCGGTGGAGCGCCGTCGCTTCTTGGTCTCTGTGGATGTATATTTTTTCGGATTTTTCCTTGTTTCGGTGGTCATTTTTCACATGTTTGAAGAAGGCATCGGCGAACTCTTTGATCTTGCTGTTGTACATCTCAATGTCTTCACGACCGCGATTTTTCTTCATGATCCAACTGTTACTCATTATGATGGTTCCCTCGGGACCAATTGCTGTAACAATGTTCCTCGCCTCGATGGTTTGATCTGTCAATGCTGTTCGCTCTTCGGAGAGTCGGATGTCGTAGTCCTGGTCCTTGAGAAATGCCAGGATCAACAATGCATCTCTTCCTGTTGGCACATGTGTCAATGCTGCTTCCGACGCTTCGTCATCAAGGATAACGTCATCGATGCATGCCATGTGGATGTGCACTCTCCCCGAAGGGTTTGACTGGGATCTCCCAGATTTCAGCGATTAGATTCTCTCCATATGTAGCATGGAACATGAACGTGATGGGCTTCTTCGCGAACGGCTTGATCTTTCTTTCTTCTTCAATGGACTGAGGCGCCGGCCTTCGCATTCTGGATTTTGCCTGAGCTGCGCCTTCGTCTTCATGGGGCGCGTCGGATCTTGACGGATGCGGACTTGGAGGAATGGATTCCGTTGGAAGATCATAGTCCGGTTCCTCTTGGCGAGGCTGACTCTTCTGCTCGGAGTACAGGGTCGTCCAAAAGATTGGAGATCGACTTGTCGTGTATGACCGCTGTTGCATCTCACGTAGAACTCCATGTCGGGATCATTGAGGAATTCCTTGCCATTAGGCCGGAGAGCATCGTATGCGGATCTAGAGTTGAGGTTGTCGATCCATCGATTTCTTGGAACAATGTCTCCCCTTGCCTTGTGCTCATGGTATGACCCGTCCACGGATGGATGCACAAACGCAATCTCGAAACGTGCCTTTCCATAGTTCGGGAACATAGCCATCAAGAGAAGTCCTGGCTTATTGCCCATGAAGTTCCTTGCATGCGTAATGCAGGTCAATGCATCGTAGAGCTCAACGGATCCATCAAGACCCATGTCCACTTGTCGTTTGCATTCTCTGTGTTGGCCTAGCGTGGAATCATGTCGGAAACATCCATTTGCCAGAGGATGAGGTCGGTGATCTGTTTTGCCTTGGATGGATCCATGTTGAAGTATTTGCAAACCTGCTCAACGTTCTGGACGGTCTTCTCGAGATCAATATGGCGGTTGTGACATACCATCGGAATGATGTCTGTTCCGAAAACTTCTGGCTGAGCAGCGGTGTAGCAGCAATTGCTGTAGACCTTCTTGATGAAGTCCATGTATTGTTTCTCTGTGTGTGGACCTTCACCTTGAAGCGTTGGCTTCCAGTAATCATTGAATCTGGCGTTCAACCAGAATACCTTGGCTCCATGTTGTCGTTCATGCTCAGGGATGAAGTGGAAGTCAGGATTCGTCTCGAGGATGGTTGAGCACTCCTTGTAGTGTTCGTACACAAAATTGAGGAATTTAGAATTCCCGAAAGGTCCTGGATGTACGGATTCCTGGAGGCTGATGTCCGTATCTGATCCATCTGGTACATGCCACCTATCGTTGGATGTGAGAGTTGGCCGCATCACTGGCCGCCTTGGAAGCGCAGGTCGGTCACCAGGATGATTGTCGGATTCTGTCTCCTCATCCAGGATGTTCTTAGGCGCTGGCTTCATCTTTGACATAAGCCTTAGTGTTGGTGGTGGTGACTTTGGAACCAGCTTTGGATGTGGCATCGCCTTCGGCATTGGATTTCCTGCAAGAGGTTGCTCTTCGTCATCCAGGTCATCATCGTTGTCGGTATCTCGATCATAATCAACCTGCTCCATGTTGACGTTATCTGGTTCTTGAGAGGTGGATGGATTCTCATCGACGACCTGCTCCATAGGGCAGTCGGATGTCTCATCTTCCTCATCACG